GTGCGTATGCCATGTTCCTGGCCTCTTGACCTCCGTAGGGGTTGTCCCGCGTGGGTGGTACCGCCTCCTGGGGGAGGTGCTCCAGAGACTCCATGAACTTTTCAAGTTGTATCTTGTTAATCGCCTTGCCCAGTTTGTGCTGGGCTTTCCTCGGCGTAGTAGATTCCCCATCGTGTGCTGCCAGTTCTGCAACGGTGGGCTGACGCCTTCCGGTTTCTCCTGCCGGTTCTAAGGCCCACTCAACCCATGACGGGGGAAGGATCCCCTTCAGAATCTCCACCGATACTCCATGCTCCTGGTTGAGTTCTTTGATAGCGTCCACTACTTTCTTTCCTGAACAGCTAGCTGCGCAATTATTATTTGATTCCATCCAATCAATCAACTAGTCTATTGTTTTGAAAAGCTGAGCAACTAGATAGCAATCAACTACTTCCCAGAAATAAATGTTGATTGAGCAAATATTTGATTGCAGTCAACTACTGTTTTGAAAAGCTGCGCAGATATTTGATTGCACTCACTACTGCTTTGAAAAGCTAGCTGCGCAAATATTTGGTTCCAGTCAATTACTGTTTTGAAAAACTGCGCAAATATTTGGTTCCTGTCAGTTGCTGTCTTGAAAAAAAAGGAGCTGCGCAAATATTTGGTTCGGAGCAACTACTTACTCCCGGAGGCAACGTCCTGACAACTATTTTGAACATGTTGTGCTTGAAAGTGGGGGGGCGGGGGATCGGAGGGAGCCCAGCCTGATGTCATTGGAAGGAAGATTGAGATTCGTTCCGGAAACGTGCATCCTCGAATCAATAGTGCGTGCATGTATCTGAGCCACCGTCATCGAGACGTAAATCAACAAGATGAATGAAGTCAATCGAAGCGACAAAAAAAACAATGAGTTTTGCCCCGACTGTTGCATATAAATATTGCATCACGTCCATCATCATCATCATCATCGTTTACGCGAGTTGAAGCCACCCAGAACGAAGAAGAATATGTTGCAATAGGCCAACCGACCACCATCCCGGTAATCCTCTCATTCGTGACCAGAGACCACGGTCGTCTCGTGACCACCAAGTATCGGCAACTACTTTCCAAAAATGTTGAGCAAATATTTGATTGCAGTCAGCTACTGTTTCGAAAAGCTTCGCAAATATTTGATTCCAGTCAACCAATTCTACTGTTTTGAAAAAAAGCTGCGCAAACATTAGTCAACTACTGCTGTTTTGAAAAGCTGCGCAAATATTTGGTTGCTGTCAACTGCTGTCTTGAAAAGCTGCGCAAATATTTGTTTACAGGCAAATAAATACCCGTAATAGTTGATTACACTCAAATAATAGTTGTACTTACATTTGATATTTGTACAGGGCGTGAAATATTTGGTTCCAGTCAACTTTTTTTTTTTTTTGCCTTCCAACAACTATTGTTTTGAAAAGCTGAGCAACTCTTTGAAACTTTGCAAGAAAAGCTCGCTTATAAAATATAACGCCGGGAATCGAACCCCTGACTTGACTGACCTCTAGAAGGCTTCGAGGGTACCAAGTACACCACCGGGGCGACCGGTCTTTGCTTGTCCCCGAAAAAAAGACTCCCCCTCTCCGCCCAGACAGAGCAGCAATATTTATAGTGCCGGGGGTCCTGTTGCAAGTGATGACTTACTTTCTTGTGGGGGGCGGATCTGTCCACATGGGGTGCGTCGCTTCTATCAGATCCCGATTTGGTCGTTTGGTTGTCAAGCTTGATTGCTTAAGTGTACGACTGCCTTGATGGTTTGGTTTTCTTTGTGTAAAACCACCAACCGCGATGTATGACTCGCTGGTGGCATATTTTTTTAGCTCCTCGTTTTGTTTGTGAGGGGCCGGAAGGAGGAATGGATGGCTCTTCCACCAATGATTCGTTCGGTGGCCGGTACCTCAAGTAAGAATCGCGTGTGATGTGCCACACGCGTGACGCTACATGGCCGAACGATTCGTGGCTGGATGTGCCCTTCTAGGAAAAAAAAAAAATGGGTATGTAGGAAAGCCAGAACCTTGTGGGAGAAATCAAAGAGAATTCATTTAGCGTACGCCGTACAATTGTAGCAACACGGGATCGTGTGAAGCGCCAGCGGCACGCGACAAAATCGCAGTCCGGTGGGTACAAAAAACGAAAGAGATACGAAACATTACTGGGGAGGGATGATTCTCGAGCGTGTCGTAACACGCGTGTCTCTCTCGTTTGGTTCTCTAAAATCATTGTAAGCTACTTACTGACCAGATCTAGGCACCCTGAAAACCCTCCTCTGGAACCTCGCTCCGCCCTCTCTCTCTCTCTAATCTGTACCTCCTCCGACGACCTCGCAGGATGCGCGTCCACCGATTGTTTCCACCCATTGTCCCAATCACAACAGGCAAACCCCCTGCTGTAATTTAAGGTACCTGCCAAAATCAAAAGCAAACTGGACACTACGTAAGACAACCTCCGGCGCGCCCATACGGCAAGAAGCCCCATAAATGAAGGAGCCTCCGCACATGCATGTCTCGAAATCACGCCCTGCCTACATTTCCAACCGACGCAGGCACCACCATCATCAGCGCCGCGGTACCCCCAACGTCATCGTGCGATGCCGTCCGATGGGGCACCAGTAGCCACAGCGGAGGCGCTAGACGATGGCAAAACAGGCGGTATTGCCAACAGCGTAGCAGAAGACGACACAGGAGGAGAAGCAGAAGGTGACGGGGGTGGCGGCGGTAACGACGGCTCCGCCAAGGATGTAGCAGACAAGCGATTCAGCGGAACGATAGCCCTGACCTTTGGGCGAGTGACGAACGTAGGGTGGTAGACGGTAAGGTTGTCGTCAACGTAGCGTTGACGGGTGCAGTTCTTGATGTGCACGTTCAAGTCCAGGAGCTCCTTGACCCGCTTGAACTTTGCCTTGTCGTTTCGCACCGCCAAAACGAAGCACTCGGTGTCCAGTTTTCCCTTGACCTCGGCCGCCTACGTCGATCGATAGAGCAGACGATGAAGCGGGCAGGGCAGGTTAAGGGCAAGGGTCGGACATAGGAACATGTTTGGAGGCGGACAGCTTACTGTCAGAAGCGCCGATAAAAGGTTGACCCCAGGACCTTGATACGGGAATCATATCAAAAGTAGAGAAGAGAGCGAGGTAGAGAGGGCGGGAGAGAGCGCGGAACCCTGCCGAGGAACCCGCCGTACAACTGTCCAACCATCACGCACACGCATCCACGTAACCCCCTGAATCTCTGCAGGTCAGTATGGAGTACCGAGCACCCTAAACAGCCCCCATGCTTGGCACTCGATACTGATCCCCTGCTGGCATTCGTTACTGATCTGCAGGGATTCTGGCGGTTACATGGATGCGTGTGTGTGATGGTAGGTCAGTTGCGCAGCGGGCCCCCGGCAGTGCTCCTCGCTCTCTCCCTCGGTTTTCTCTCTACTCTAAATCAAACCATACTCCGGAGTATCAAGGTCCTGGGGTCTGTGAAATCAAGTAGGACACAGAACTACTGGGGGAGTTTACAAGGTTGTAAGGTTAACGTGTAACGTGTAAGAGAGAGAAACGCGGCGTGACTTCGACGATGACTTTTTTTTTTTTTCTCTCATCATTGGACTCTGTCGTCTGCCCCTCTGGCCCCTATCCTCCACTTCTACTAGCTAGACGACCCAACCGGGGTCACATAGGAGGGGGGGGTTGGACCCCCTCCTGCGGTTCATGCCTGAGGTATTTTTATCGCGAGAAGGGTACAGCAATCCCTTCCCTCGCGACTTACGAAGTCGATTATGGTTTACTAACAACGAGCTTTGCAGCGCGTCGCTTTCATCCTAGACCAGGATTTATTTAGTGAGAAAAAAACTCTCTCTGCCGGGACTCGAACCCATGACCTGGCCCATAGCAGGCTGCGAAGCTACCCACTAGACCACCGGGGCGACCGAGCAGACATATGGCTGCCTCGTTGCGGTCAACCCTGAATATTGAAGAGCTGTGTGGTGTGTAAACCAACGGTCTTGAATCTCTTGAGGTTAATAAACTAACACGAGTGCTCCTCAGAGACCAAACAGGCCTCGAATGGACCAGGGGTTTCACATCAACTACATTTGCTCTACGCCTCTGACTATAACCGGTCCATGCCCAAACAGAACACTCGCAACACGTAAGTATGCTTACAAGGGTTCCGAGGCTTCACCGCCAGCTCCTCGTATGTAGCGATTCCAAGATACATGCATGATGGCGGCTTGGCCTTGCTGGCATGCGCACCAATTCGGGAAGACTCCCCAATGATACATATATTGATCAATTGTGTATGCCACAAGGAGGGAGATACTGCCACCGTTGGGCGTAAAGACGATGCTATGTGTATCGTGAGGAGAGTGTTTTTCAACGTCAGTCGGAACGCGCTTATTTGAACAATCATGATCAAGGCGGACAGAACAAAGCAGCCGTGATCCACACAACTGCTTTCCCAACAAAAGTTCTACAAGAAAGAGGGCGCAAAGGACCTAAACATAAAAACAACACGGTCTTGGCAACGTTCGTCCCCTACCCACGCATCGACTATGCACGCACCTTGCACGCCTTGTCCGTCACATACTGCACGTACTCGCCCACCACCTGTCACCACCACATTTTTTGCGTAGTAGACGAGAGACACCCACAAGCGGCCGATGGAAAATAACGTGGGGTGGGGAGAGGCGTGAAACGGCGGGGGTGGCAGCCGGGCGGTAAATAAATGAAGCCCATGGGTGGGCGGCGGACGGGCACTTCGAACCATTGGTTGCGCCGAATGTCGGTCAAGCTAAATACGGCACGACACCGTCGGATAGCTGATCAACACACACAGCCACAACGCGGTGGGTGGTGCTACTAACTGCTTGCCTTCTATGGGCGTGTCACACGCTGCGTGTTGTACATGATACTCATTCGATGTTTGGATCACAAGCGTTGGAACTCTCTTGTTTGGCCATTTGCCAGCAGTGCTCGCGCTCCACAATTCGACGGTTTAACCGTAGCGCTAGCCTGTCGGGATAATTAAGTGCTGAGCTTGTGCCGCGTCGCTTGGCGGGTGTGAAGAAAGATGGATCCTCTCCTCGGCAGTTTCGTGATAATGGTGGTTCCCTTTGCTTTGTTGTCGTCATTTCTCATTGGTGAGTCGTCGCTCTTGGTACACACCTGCCTTGCGCTTTGCCTCTCCAACTAACAAAGAGCTCCGATCCGGGACAACGCAGGAGAGTTCCTCCAAGGTGCACGCCAGACGAAAAAATTGCAGCTAAAAAATACGTTTAAACGCGAGAGGTGGTCGCTGCCACACACGGTGTTTTCGTTCTTTTACACTAGTTTGGGGTGTTCGTTTTTTATCTCCCGAAATAAAGCCCTTCCCTGAGACGTCACGAGGAGGACTGCTCTGTCGATAGCCGTCAAGCTAATCGGCTAAATAAAACCAAAGGTCAATTCAAAGCGTTGCCCAATGCCCGCTCACTCCTGGGCGACTATATCCTGTTGGTCAAATTTGGTACCACTGTGAACATACATGCGGCTCTGTGTGCTCCTATATTGGTATGTTATTGACATGTCTCCACCGTAGGTTGCACAAGATATCACACCCTGGACCGATTTTCAATGCTCGGTTACTCCTACAGCAGAAACAGTGGCGGTACCGACAAACACGGCGGTATTGGAACAGTTTCGCGGAGAGCTTCCGAAAACGTGTCAACAATTTCCGGCATCCTCCTCGTCGTGGAGTAATCGAGCCTTGATAATCGGTCCAGGGGGAGCGACATCCCACACAACCTACGGTACTTCTATGCCGTGCCCACGGTTCTCTACGTTGCCCCTCTTCTCCTGACCCTTCGACATCTCTCTCCATACGATGGTGTTTTGTGTGTCTCTCTCTCTTCGTTTCCCCTCGGTGATGTTCTTCTCGACATCATGCAAACAAAAGGCCGCACACGATTGCGACCCGGCAGCATCCAACCACACAGCCACACAGCCGCTCGTCACAACTTCTCAAGGCACACCGCAGTGTGTAGGTTCTGCCTCTGTCTGCCCTTCCCTTCCCCTGGCTACGTCTTGCCCGCTGCGTGTTGTACCATAGTTTGTCCAACAGCCAAGTACGGGTCCGCGATACACACTTTATAAACGCTGAATATTTTCCTGAGACAACTTCCTGAGAGAGAAGCAGAACGGCGAATGCTCAAATCCTGACGCCATCAATCTCGGCAACGGTACCGTCTACCGTGAGTATGAGAGGCCGAACACGGTTTCATTACAACTCTCGCTAGAAATGTGTTATATGGGGCATATATCCAGTCATGACCGAAAACCGTCTTTCTATGTTCCGGCTGGAATAGTCAGCACAGAGGAGATGTGCTGGCGGGTGGCCAAGAAAGAGAAGGTGTTCAATGCGAACAGAAAAAACACAACAAGCACTTCTTGCATGTAGGCCCAAAAGAAAAGGTATTCAATGCGAATAGAAAAAGTTGACTGCAACAAGCACCTCTTGCATGCAGGCCGAAAAGGTGTTCAATGCGAATAGAAAAAATCGACTGCAACATGCACCTCTTGCATGTAGGCCACCGTCTCCGGCAGCGGGTGTTGCTCGTCTCCAAAACCGTACATCATCCTGAGACAGTGCGAAGACGAGCGAGAGGGGAGGAAAGCCACAAAGTGGAGGGTCGAAAAAGCGGACGAAAAAAGAGAGTACGTGGACAAACCGAGAGGTTGGTGCATTGCGATTCTCGTCCGTGCTATTCAGGTACCCTATGGAAGGGAACGAGGGGTACGTTGTATGAACAATCCTTTTGGATGCACCTGCCGCTCTTCTGTGCCTACAACGAGAAACCGACATTCAATCAAAACTGCAGCGTCGGGCGACGGAGCTCCTCTACCCGTAAGTCCGACCAAACCTATCTCGGTTCACACAATAAAATGAACGATAGGTAAGCAAGATACACGATGGCCGAGGCAACAGCTCAAACGACAAACATCACCAAGTACAGTAGTAACAAGCCTCACATTGGCAAGCTGTCTGCGATCGAACCTGCTTGCGACGATTTCTGCTGGGCGTCCTGGCCAAGGCACACAGAGCGGGAGACGGGGCAGCGGCAGCGTTGGAATAATAATGAAAAGTCGGTTTTTCAGCACACGAATCCACCCACTGATCGTAAACGTACGCCTGGTGAACTACAATGTCATCTCTACGACCTCGAAACAAGGGGTGGCTACCCATGGAGCCCAGGCTGAAAATTGGCTAGCGGGTGAATTACATTTAACAAAGCGCCGCTCGAATTCGGCTTGCGGTATTAGACAGAAGCGGCAGAGCTGAAACCAGGGTGAATTCCACAACCACCGGACAAGACTTGGTCGGGAATTGTACAACAACTTTGTGGTAGAGCTGACAAAAACATTGCCCGGTTCAGACTTTCTTCGTGGACTCCACGTTGCTACATACCATGTGCTCGAGCACTTGTCCGCACCACCAACGGTCCGTGGGTTCTTTCAGCCTGTCGGGAAGGATACCATGTGCTGGCGTTCGCTTGCACTTTACTCCCAAAGCTTAGGCCCAAAAAACCAACAGCAAGTAGACTTCTCTTCGAGAAAAAAAACGCACACGTGTTGGACCACGAGCGGGCTCCGACAGAACCAGCAACACAAACAGGGCCGTCGATTTCTCAAGCGCTGCAATCACCACCAATGTGTATCCAACAACTTTTCTATGCGCTGCTGCCCGTGGCGTACCGAGAACGTTGTGGCAGGGAGGACCGCCTACGCAAGATTTTTAGAGTATCTAGAACAAGAATGGGGAGGGGGCACGCAGACCCTATCCCTAACCACGGATTGAACACTTTATCCCATTTGTTTGCTTAATCATTTTTCCTGCGTAGACTACTGGGCAGGGAGGAGCAATGCACCAGACCAAAGAAACATAGAAACCCAGGCAACGACAGGGAAGAAGAATCGGAAGGATGAAGCACGGGCGGATCCCGTGCCGTAGGTAGCAGGAGGGCTGCCTGTCTTTTTTTTTCGCCGAACAGGTGCCTGTGTTTTTGGGTCGGAGCCCGAAGAAATCGGAGGCAATAGGTGAGCTCCGTCGGTTGCAAGGGCCTCCTTGAGGGCGAAACTCAACAAGTCCCCAGCAGAGCCGAACGACTGCCAAAAAACGCCATCTGTGTTGCTTCAATGCAGGCAGCTCTTCCGCGTGCTCCGATCCGATATCGTCACACCCTGTACAAACAACAACCAGCATGTTCAGAGTGTGTCACCGCCAAGCTACCCTCGTCCCCTCTTAACACTCCAGGATGATGACGCATTCAACTCGGCTCACAGCAGCCTTACGCAGACCAAAATCGGCGTCCGTCCACAAACATCAAGAGCTCAACTTCGAGCATACTCTGTGGACCTTATTTTGATCAGTTTGTGACAACGGAAACGTTCAATATTTGAGCAGTGCCAGAAGAGGAGATACCCGAGAAGTCCGGGTACGGTTAACTAAGGGCAAGGTACTCTCAGGCCACGTGGAAGTGTGTTGACCTTTCAACCTCCTGTGGGTAAAGGGTGTTCATGTATACTTGCTAGAGAGAGGCTGACCCTTACGGTCAACGAGAATTGGCCCAGACGGATTATTTTCGGAATCCGTACACGACAATTTCCCAAAAGGTAGACCCATGGCCACATGACCGCAGCGTGCTCCCTCCCTGATGGTCAGATCGCCACCCAACCTTGAAGGTTGTACGCACCACACCTGTAGGCGTCTTTGGAGCCTGTTGTGACTGCTGAGGGGTCCGTGGGGCCCGTGTGGGCCGAGAAAGGTTGATCCATGTGAGAAAAAAAATAATCCGCCGGGAGAGTTCGCCCGCGGAAGATACCCCCATTTCCCGTGCACAGTTGTAGACAAAATCTCCCAGCGGACTTTCTCGACCCACAGCGACCCCACGGACCCTTCAGCAGTCACAACAGGCTCCAAAGACGTCTACAGGTGTGGTGCGTACAACCTTCAAGGTTGGGTGGCGATCTGACCATTGTGGCGAAAGGGCTGCCTGTTGGGAGATTTTCGTGTACGGATTGCGAAACAATCCATCGCGCCAAATCTCGTTGACTACAAGAGTCAGCCTAATGATCATAAGAGATCTCCGGGGGTTACGCGAGTTGGAAGTTACGGGTGGGCATAGCATGAAGCGCGAGTTTCCGCCTGGCCTCGCCCGTGTCTCTCACTCGTTCAACTCTACAACAAAGGAACTTGAGCCACACGCCAGAAACGCTCTCGACAAGAGCCCGCGAGCGCGAAACACCGCAGACATATGGTGCGTTCGGGCAAATATTCACAATCTTGTTTTTCGCGATATCTTTCGAAAAAAAACGATTTGGAAAGTGAAACAACATTGGGCGTGACCGCGGCGTCGAGCTTCGTCGATATCCAATGAGTTTTTGGTGATAGGGTGAAATGCGACATCTTTGACCAACATGACCCACGGAGCCCCCACCCCCCCACCCCCTCATGACCCCACGGAGCCCCCAAAGTACACCACGACCCCCCCTCAACCCCTCCCTTCTACACGTA